CTTCACTCCCGTTTTTGTTGTTAATCGCACTGGTGAGATTCTGGAGTCTACCACCACTTATCAGTGGCATTAAATACTTAGCGGTGATAACCCAGCTGATACCGGTACACGAGGGATTTCTTCGGAAGCCCTCAAGGAAAGCAGCTGGGTTAATGGCCCTAGTATATTGAGAACAACTGATTGGCCGTTCAAGCCCGATACAAGTGTTGTTGATAAAATTAGACTCAAAGGACCATCATGTGATATCGACATTTGTCTGGAAAATTCGTCAAATTTCGTCGTCGATGTTTTGACAGAAAAAAATCGTCCCTTCGGAAAATGGGAGAGATTCAATTCAATTGTAAAATACAAACGCGCAGTAGCATTTTTGTTAAGATGGCTGCCATCCCATAAACATTTCCGGTCAAGTATATTAGAAATTACAGACCCGTCTGAAATGGATATTGCTGAACAGAAGCTCATTTACCTATCCCAGGGTGAGACATTCCCTAGTGAGCTAAAACTACTAAGATCCGGTAAAGTTTTTACAAGGAATAGTCGGATCGCCAAGTATTCGCCGTTCATTGGACCAGCTGGCATCCTTCGCCCGACTGGGCGCATCAGCCGCTTGGTTAATTCCGATTTCGATAGCAGGCATCCGATTATACTTGATGCACGTTACGCGGTTGTTCGGTTATTGGTTCAGCACTTGCACGTTTGGAATTTCCATCAAGGCTTGGATTACATACGTGCGGTGGTTAATTTGAAGTACGTTGTGTTAAATTTGCGATGGTTGCTGCGAAACATTGAAAATACTTGCGTTGCTTGCCGAAAACACAAAGCGCAAACAGTAACTCATATTATGGCTGATCTGCCCCTTGAAAGACTGGGTTACAAGCAACCCCTTTCACTAACACAGGTGTCGACTACTTTGGGCCGTTCCTAGTTCCAATCCGGAGAAGTACGGAAAAGATGTGGGTTTTTTGTTCACCTGTCTCACCACTAGAGCGGTGCATATTGAAGTGGTCCCCTCGCTCGACACAAGCTCTTGTGTGATGGGCGTAGAGAGGTTTATTGCATGTCGCGGTACTCCGACTACCATCATGTCCGACAACATAACGAACTTTGTTGGCGCTCAGAAAGAGCTCTTAGCTTGCATTGAGAGTTGGAACAAGCTCGCACCAGCTGTTTTTGTTCAGAAAGGGATCAAGTGGAAAATAAATCCAGCCAGCGCACGGCACCATGGTGGCTCCTGGGAGCGATTAGTTTGGAGTGTCAAGCGCGTTTTGTATGACATCTTAGGCAACAGAAGAGTAACTGAGGAGGTTCTAAGAACCACGCTGTGCCTTGTTGAGCAATCATTCAACGCTAGACCGATAACAGCCGTTAGTTCCGATCCGCTAGATCTAGAGGCGTTGACCCCGAATCATTTTATCTTTGGTCAACACGCAGCGAGTTTTCCGTCGCTAAGTTTCGAAGAAAACTTCGACCATAAAAAGCGGTTCGCCAGAGCGCAATCATACGCTAACGCAATATGGACACGGTGGATGCGGGAATACGTTCCTTCCCTCAATAGGAGGGCAAAGTGGCACAACCTCAGTCAGTTAAGTTGAAAGCCGGCGACTTGGTTTGGGTCATAGAGCCTGACACTCCACGTGGACATTATCCACTCGCACGTATCCTAAGACTGCACTAAGGCAAGGACGGATAAAGACCGTTACGAGCGAACTGACCCGCCCGACCGTAAAGCTTGCTCCCGTTCTTCCTTGTTTAGGGGTGGAGGATGTTGCAGCGCAAATATAAAACAATATCATAAATGCATAAAAAACTGAACCAAAATATAAATGCATATAGGGACAGTAGCCAAGTGTATACATGGTGAGTCCCGGCGGGTTCGGCGCCGGTTCGAATCGCAACTAGGTCATTTCTTTTCTAGAACTCGAATATGCACCGAACTTGATGGGATATTCCGTAACCAGGTTCGATCCCCCCAAAACCTATTTTAACCGTCTTTTCGCTCTAATTTGGTTCAGCCTTGATTAAGGCTGACCTTTAAAAAGACCAATTTGTCTCAAGGACAAATACTGGCCATTTTTGCAGCTTGCTTTGAGTTATGCAGTTTTTTGTGGCCGATGTTACCGATGTTAACAATGCAAAAGTTTGTTAAAAATATCATTCTTAGCGATAAATTGAGTATCATTGTTACTGAGTTATTTTGCCGATAAAATGCTCGAATTAAATTGTTTGAAACGCGATATTTTTACAATCCGTGGAGATTGAGGCGCACAGACACGCAAACAACACAGCGTCGAAAATAAAACTTTCTCGACCCAAAGTTTGGACCTAAGCTCAAATCAGTTACTTAGTAAAAAAATCATAATCTGCCCGTGTTGACCTCCATAGACCGAAAATGCTAATCATACAATTTCATACACTTAATCTATGGAAAATTGTTAGTCATACAAAAGTCATACATTTTAGCTTAATGAGTTTAATCGAATTTCAAAGGTATTTTATAGTTGTTTTGGTATCGAAATTGTTATCTCTTCATTAAATAAACGAAAAAAAAATGGTATGAAAAAAATGCTAACCATACAATTTCCATATATGGAATTTATATGATTAGAATTTTCTTTTTTAATTTTTTGTGAAAAAAAAAAGCTTTGAACAATGAATTCAATTGCTGGCAAAACATTTAAGCGTTTTTTGGGCTGCTACGACTGAAAACTTCGACTTTTTTTATTTTTGTTTTCTGAAAAAAAACACTCGTCATACAATTTCCATATATGGAAATTGTATGACTAGCAATTTTTGATGACGACGACAAAAATTTTCGAAGTACTTTTGAAATTGCCCCCAAATTTTTTTGTGTTTTTTTTTCAACCGCAAATTGATTTTCGTATTCGAACAAACATTTTTTGAAAAAAAAATTTGCATGCAAAATTTAATTTTTTGTGTGTATAACGTAGTCCTGGATATACTAATATTGGATTTTTTTTTCCTTTTCTCTTCATATTTTTTTTCAAAAACGTTTAATACTCCTCTTTCTTTTGTATGACATGTTTTTAAATGCCTTGATCAATGTCTGGTAATTTAAAAATTCAAGTTTTAGAAATAATCATCTTTGAAAATTATTGCCAAAACTTAAAAGTTCATTACTTTCGTTATATTATTTGTCTGAGACAGAAGTAACACATATCAGGCTGTTGGCAATGCATTTTAATGCGAGACAGCCGAACCGTTGGTTACTACATTTGAGTAATCAAGGTTTGTCATTTGTGTTCGGTTACGAACACCGCCAAAAAATTTTGAGAAATTAAAATGCTAAAAATCAATATTTTTGGTTTATGGAAAAATGCTAGTCATACAATTTCCATTTGTGAAAAATACTAATCATAGACCTTTCATGCAATTTTCTGTACGTATGAAATTGTATGGAAAGTGTATGACTAGCATTTTTCCATTCATGGAAATTGTATGACTAGTATTTTTGGTCATCCCGGGTGGTTGCCAAAAAACTAATTGTTAAGTAACTGCTCTAAGGCAACCTGAGAAAATGGCTTGAAAAATATTAATATTAAAATTAAAAATAAAAACATAACAAATAGATAGTTAACCCTTTTGTAAGAGCATCTTTAGAAATTTTTCAAAAACGTGGCTCAAAATCTCTTCTTTTTTTTTACTAAGCCCCAATAAATATTTAGGGATTGGGCGATGAAATCAAAAATTCCCTTATCATGAGCACAAGGACAGGAAATCGCAAAGTTTTCAAACGGGGGCTTAGATATTAGACGATTCAAAAATAATTGGATTTAGACGATAACTGCAAATTGCGTGAAAAATTTTTTCTGACCAAAATTAAATTTTGGATGAGTAATCAATGGTTATGAAACCGCAAATCAGGTGGTCAAATGTCCTAATTTTGTTTCATGTATTTGAAAAGGTATACTTACGATTAATGATTCATACTCTTATTTTATATTTATACTTTTACATGTTAATACAAAATTTGATTGATAATTTTTAGGAAATTTAGAGTTATTTATGTGATTGGTTTTGTAATAATAGACTCATTTGTTTTTTAAGTAAGTTTACTTCTAAACAAAAATTTTTGTTGGCCCAGTTTTTTTCTGGTTGTCCGAAATGTTAGTGGTATCGTTTAATTTCAGTTATTGTTCCGAACATTGAAAATTGGGAGGAACTTTTTATTCTGGTATGTTTTTTTTGTTTTTTTTTTGCTTCCACCTAAATTTATTTTGTTTTCCACCTACAATTGGCTACCACGAAAAAATATTGGACAGGCTTGAGTGATATGTCATATTAAAGCACTTCTAGTCGTGATTCGAATAACATTTGAGAATTTCAAAAAAAAATTTCACAGTGTCGAGAAAAACCTAGTTTCGAACTAATTATTAAGGTCTAATTTCGAGCGAATGAGCTGTGTAGCTTTGCAATAGCTGATTTTTACTCAAGTAAAGGTAGTTTTTGGAGTTTTTAGCGCAATTTGGGAATCAAAAACTTGAAAATTCAAAAAAAAAAATCATTTTTTTTTTTTCATTTTTCTACAATATTTTTTTTCAAAAACTGTTTTCCAATTGACCTATTTTACTATGACCCTCCAGTTATTTTTTTTTCGTTCAGATTTTTCTACCACATCAAGCAGAAAAAACGAAACTACTTTGAGAAAAAAATTTTGTATTGTTTAAAACTGTGGCCGGAACGTTCTGTTCTACTTGCACAGTAACTGGCTATCCTTGCTTTATTGTTTAAATTCAGTTATTTTATGATTGTCTAATTTGCTTTTTCGTAATTTTCTATACCCCGTTTCAAACAATCAACTTCTTTTACACTTTCCAAAGTAACTGATTTTCATCAAAATTGTCTTATGTGCCGGAGTATATTTTGTTTTAAGTTTCATAGGACTTGATTGACTTTTTTTGATAGTAACCAGATTAAAAGAAATTAAATTTATTCATTCTAAAACCTAATTTTAAGTTCAAGTAAAAAGGTTTAACATCAACTCACAAATAAATAAGTATCAATAGTTAGGTTCATTTCTAGTTGTCTCTATTTCACTGTTGTTGATGTGTTTTTAAATTATCTTCCTTCTTCTGTTTTTCATCTTCCATAGAGTTGTCAGCAGCTGACCTAAAAAAAAACAGACAATTTTGAAAATAATAAGAAAAATTTGTGGTTAAATTTTTAGTGCTTTAGAAGGTCAATTTGGTCGCCCTCGCCTAGAAAAAAAACATATATTTATTTCAATACTTCGTTAAGAGCGATCAAATTGATCTTAAGACCGCGCCAATAAGGATGAAGCTTATGTTTTCTAAATCAATACTTTCGTTGAGTTTTCAAATTTTTTTTATTGTAACGGACATAGTCAATTAGTCCAAAGTGGATGTCATAGCTGGCTAAAAATGATTTTTAATCTTAGTTTTGAGAGCTTAAAACTCCTGAGAATGTAATCAATTGAGAAGTTGTTCATATGCTCGGTAATTTGGCTTTTTCTGTTAATGTACTTTAATTATAAATTATATCAGATTTGTTTTGCAGACTATAGATATGCAGCCACACAGTTGTGTGCGCAGAAATTTTTCTAGGGGGCGGTTTTATGCAAAAATTTAAAAATTTTGTCGACCTTTTTTTACATCGACTAATTTAATTTTCCAAGCTCAGGCCAAAAAAAGGAGTTTTCAGGTTTTTTTGGACTTTTTTGACCAAAAAATTTTGAGGATGGTCAGCCAAAAATAGATGTCGTAAAATTATACCAAAGGGGGACCCTTTGGTAAACATTTGGCAACCAGAATTGAAGAAGGTCGTTGGAAATTGCTGGAAATTCCAGTTTGCTGTAAAATGCACAGTAATTAGATTGAAAAAATTGCATGTCTAAGTTGTATCATTACTCTAGCCAGGGTAGGATTCAGGAGGAATTGTGGGTGTGGGGGGGGGGGTTCGTCTTTCACTGATTCAAAGGCCGACTCAAAAGGTTCCCTTTTTGGTACTATTTGAAGATGTCTAGTTTTGGCATAAAACTTTTTTTGCCCATTTTTTATATAAAAGTTTCAAAATATCTGCCACGAGAAAATGCTAGATTCGCTCCTGACGATATGTATTCGCTCCTGACGTTGTATCTGGGTACTAGACTTGTTTCCTCGTAAACAAATTTGTTCACAGGGTTGGATGCAAGCTTAATAGATCTAGATCTCATGAGAGAAATGATGAACATCAAGCCACAATCGGATACTATAGAAAAAGACACTGGAAAGAGTCTTCCTAGTAGTTGATGGAGGCAGCGACGCGCTTCGGCAGACCGAAGGATCTGGAGGTTGAAGTATGTGCAGTCAGCGGCGCTTGTTTGTATCTAAAGTCGCCATGTCCTCGCGAGAAGTTAATGTGGGTTAAAAATTTATCAAAAAACTGAACGGATTGCTCCGAATGATCGGAATCTGATCTTGAGATAAAAGTGGAAGCTCTCACAGGGAACAAAGTCAATGTAGCAGTCACCACGTTGGGTCATATGAATCACTGGAAAATGTCCGAGCCATCCGCGATGTGAAAATTACTTCGAGTGTGGAGTCGTGGACTAGATTTTTTAGCTCAAGAATGGAAAAAATACCAGAAGTTGAAAGTATGGGTTTGAAGCTGAACCCTCCAGAAGAAATTTAAGGTCCAGAAGAAGTTTCGAAACCAGAAGAAGCATTGATTTCAGAAGTATGGAATCCAGAAGAATCATCAGGAATAGAAGAAGTGTCAGGTCTAGAAGAAGTATCAGGTCCAGAAAATGTATTGGGTACAGGAGAAAAATCGAGTCCAGAAAAATTTCGAATCCAGAAGAAGTATCGAGTCCAGAAGTAGTATCGAGCCCAGATAAAATATCAGGTCCAGAAGAAGTATCGAGTCCAGAAGATGAATTGAGTCCAGAAGTATCAAGCCCAGAAGAAGTGTCAGTTCTAGAGGAAGTAACAGGCCTGGAAGACGTATTGTGTCCGGAAGATGTATCGAGTCCAGAAGAAGTATCAAATCCAGAATAAATATCAGGTCCACCATAAGTATCAAGTCTTGAAGTATCGAGTACAAAAGATGTTTTGAGTCTGAAAGAAGTGTCGAGTCCAGAAGAAATACCAGGTCCAGAAGAAGTATCGAGTCTAGGAGAAGTATCGGGTCCAGAAAAAGTATCGGATCCAGAAGAATTATCGGTTCCAGTAGACGTATCAGGTCTGCAAGAAGTATCGAGCACAGAAGATACGTTGAGTCCAAAAGTATCGAGTTGAGACGAAGTATCAAGTCCAAAAGAAGTATCGAATCCAGAAGTAGCGAGTCCAGAAGAAATATTGAGACCAGAAGAAGTATCAAGTCCAGAAGAAGTATCAAATGAAGAAGAAGTGTCGAGTCCACGAAAATAATCGAGGCCAGAGAAGTATCGAGTCCAGAAGAAATATCGAGTCCAGAAGAAGTATCAAGTCCAGAATAAATATCAGGTCCACCATAAGTATCAAGTCTAGAAGTATCGAGTACAGAATATGTTTTGAGTCTGAAAGAAGTTTTGAGTCCATAAGAAATGCCAGGTCCAGAAGACGTATCGGGTCTAGGAGAAGTATCGATTCCAGAAGAAGTATCAAGTCCAGAAGAAATATCGAGTCCAGAAGAAGTATTAAGTCCAGAATAAATATCAGGTCCACCATAAGTATCAAGTCTAGAAGTATCGAGTACAGAAGATGTTTTGAGTCTGAAAGAATTATCGAGTCCAGAAGAAATACCAGGTCCAGAAGAAGTATCGAGTCTAGGAGAAGTATCGGGTCCAGAAAAAGTGTCGGATCCAGAAGAAGTATCGGTTCCAGAAGACGTATCAGGTCTGCAAGAAGTATCGAGCACAGAAGATACGTTGAGTCCAGAAGTATCGAGTCCAGACGGAGTATCAAGTCCAAAAGAAGTATCCAATCCAGAAGTAGCGAGTCCAGAAGAAATATTGAGACCAGAAGAAGTATCAAGTCCAGAAGAAGTAACAAATGAAGAAGAAGTATCGAGTCCACGAAAAAAATCGAGGCCAGAGAAGTATCGAGTCCAGAAGAAATATCGAATCCAGAAGAAGTATCAAGTCCAGAATAAAATCAGGTCCACCATAAGTATCAAGTCTAGAAGTATCGAGTACAGAATATGTTTTGAGTCTGAAAGAAGTATCGAGTCCGTAAGAAATACCGGGTCCAGAAGAATTATCGAGTCTAGGAGAAGTATCGATTCCAGAAGAAGTATCAAGTCCAGAAGAAATGTAAGGTCCAGAAAAAGTTTCGAAACCAGAAGAAGCATTGATTTCAGAAGTATCGAGTCCAGAAGAATCATCAGGAATAGAAGAAGTGTCAGGTCTAGAAGAAGTATCAGGTCCAGAAAATGTATTGGGTACAGGAAAAAATCGAGTCCAGAAAAATTTCGAATCCAGAAAAAGTATCGAGTCCAGAAGAAGTATCGAGCCCAGAAGAAATATAAGAACCAGAAGAAGTATCGAGTCCAGAAGATGAATTGAGTCCAGAAGTATCGAGCCCAGAAGAAGTATCAGATCTAGAATAAATATCAGGTCCACCATAAGTATCAAGTCTAGAAGTATTGAGTACAGAAGATGTTTTGAGTCTGAAAGAAGTTTCGAGTCCATAAGAAATACCAGGTCCAGAAGACGTATCGGGTCTAGGAGAAGTATCGATTCCAGAAGAAGTATCAAGTCCAGAAGAAATATCGAGTCCAGAAGAAGTATTAAGTCCAGAATAAATATCAGGTCCACCATAAGTATCAAGTCTAGAAGTATCGAGTACAGAAGATGTTTTGAGTCTGAAAGAAGTTTCGAGTCCATAAGAAATACCAGGTCCAGAAGACGTATCGGGTCTAGGAGAAGTATCGATTCCAGAAGAAGTATCAAGTCCAGAAGAAATATCGAGTCCAGAAGAAGTATCAAATCCAGAATAAATATCAGGTCCACCATAAGTATCAAGTCTAGAAGTATCGAGTACAGAAGATGTTTTGAGTCTGAAAGAAGTTTCGAGTCCATAAGAAATACCAGGTCCAGAAGACGTATCGGGTCTAGGAGAAGTATCGATTCCAGAAGAAGTATCAAGTCCAGAAGAAATATCGAGTCCAGAAGAAGTATTAAGTCCAGAATAAATATCAGGTCCACCATAAGTATCAAGTCTAGAAGTATCGAGTACAGAAGATGTTTTGAGTCTGAAAGAATTATCGAGTCCAGAAGAAATACCAGGTCCAGAAGAAGTATCGAGTCTAGGAGAAGTATCGGGTCCAGAAAAAGTGTCGGATCGAGAAGAAGTATCGGTTCCAGAAGACGTATCAGGTCTGCAAGAAGTATCGAGCACAGAAGATACGTTGAGTCCAGAAGTATCGAGTCCAGACGGAGTATCAAGTCCAAAAGAAGTATCGAATCCAGAAGTAGCGAGTCCAGAAGAAATATTGAGACCAGAAGAAGTATCAAGTCCAGAAGAAGTAACAAATGAAGAAGAAGTATCGAGTCCACGAAAATAATCGAGGCCAGAGAAGTATCGAGTCCAGAAGAAATATCGAATCCAGAAGAAGTATCAAGTCCAGAATAAAAGCAGGTCCACCATAAGTATCAAGTCTAGAAGTATCGAGTACAGAATATGTTTTGAGTCTGAAAGAAGTATCGAGTCCGTAAGAAATACCGGGTCCAGAAGAATTATCGAGTCTAGGAGAAGTATCGATTCCAGAAGAAGTATCAAGTCCAGAAGAAATGTAAGGTCCAGAAGAAGTTTCGAAACCAGAAGAAGCATTGATTTCAGAAGTATCGAGTCCAGAAGAATCATCAGGAATAGAAGAAGTGTCAGGTCTAGAAGAAGTATCAGGTCCAGAAAATGTATTGGGTACAGGAAAAAATCGAGTCCAGAAAAATTTCGAATCCAGAAAAAGTATCGAGTCCAGAAGAAGTATCGAGCCCAGAAGAAATATAAGGTCCAGAAGAAGTATCGAGTCCAGAAGATGAATTGAGTCCAGAAGTATCGAGCCCAGAAGAAGTATCAGATCTAGAAAAAGTGTCAGTTTTAGAGGAAGTAACAGGCCTAGAAGACGTATTGTGTCCGGAAGATGTATCGAGTCCAGAAGAAGTATCAAATCCAGAATAAATATCAGGTCCA